CCAACCCCCCCCCCCTCGCGCCGGCGACGGCGCCGTCGCTGGCGGCGGCCAGCAGCGCCGACGGCGGGGACGCAGAGACGGTGACCAGAGAGGGCCCGCCGCACAGGGAACACACAAATCGCCATATCGAGCCCTCGCCCCCCTGAAGCCACCGAGAGGCCCTTAGGAAGGTCCACGAGGCTTCACACATGCTCCTCAGACGCCCCCGAGACCCTTCTGACGAGACCTCAGGAGGAGTCGATTAGAACTCTGACCCAAAGCCAAAACACGATGGCGGGAAGAGCCGAAGGCCACACCACCACCACCACCACCACCACCACAAGCACGAACAAAGCACGCAGCACGCCCGCACATGGGCAGCGTCTAGGCCACCACCACCACCACCACCACAAACCACCAATACCACAGCCGCCACAACCACCACCACAACAACCACCAGAACCAACCACCACCACCACAACAACAGCCATCACCACAAACCACCACCACCACCACCACCACCACCACCAAAAACACCACTACCACCAGCACCACCACAACCCACCACAACCTACCACAACCCACCACAACCCACCACAACCTACCACAACCACACCACAACCACCACCACAAACCACCACACCATTACCACCACCATCACCACCACCGCCACCACCACAACTGTCACCACAACCCACCACCACCACCACCACCACCACAAACCACCACATCACCACCACCACAACCACCACTACTACCACAACCAACCACCACCCACCACCCACCACCACCAGCACCAGTACCAGCAGCGCCATCACCACCACCAACACCACAGCCCACCACCACCACCACCACCACCACAGACCACCACGCCACCACAACCACCACCGCGAACACCACTACCAAAACCACTACCACCTCAAGCCACCTTCACCACCACCAACAACAAACCACCACACAACCACCACCACCAGCCACCACCACCACCAAAACAACAACTCACCACCACCACCACAACAACACACAACCACTGCCACCACCACCAGTGTACCACACCCCCACCACCACCACCGCCACAACCACCACCACTGCCAGCAGCATAACCCACTACCACCAAAACCACCACACCACCACCACCACCGCCACCACCACCAGCACCACCGCCACAAACCACCGCCACCACAACCACCACCACCACCGCCACCACAAACAGTCACACCACAACCGCCACCACCACCGCCACCACCACAACCACCACCACAACCAACCACCATCACCACAAACAACCACCACTCAACCACCAAACCACCACCACCACCACCACCACCACCCAGCACCACCACCACCCACCACAACAAACACCACCACAACCACAACCACCACAACCACCACAACCACCTCCGCCACCACCACCACCACCACAACCCACCACCACCACCACCACCACCACAAACCACCACACCACCACCACCACCACCACCATCTCCACCACCCACTACCACAAACACCACAACCATTATCTCCACCACCCACCACCACAACCACCACCACCACAACAAACCACCACCACCACCACAACCACCACCACCGCCACCACCACCAACACAACCCACCACTACCACCACAACAACTACCGCGACCACAACCACCACGACAAACCACCACACCACCACCGCCACCACTACCACCACATTAACCCACCACCACCACCTCAACTACCACCACCACCACCAGAAACCACCACACCACAGCAACCACCACCGCCGCCACCACCACCACCACCACAACTTGCCACCACAACCACCAATGCAACCACAACCACCGCCGACCACCACACCACCACCACCACCACCACAGCCCACCACCACCACCACCTCAGAGGCCCCAAGAGACGCCCAAGAGGCGCCCAGGAGACTTCACAAATGCCCTTCGGAGGCCCCCGAGAGCCCTCCGACGAGACCCCAAGAGGCATCCATTAGAAATCTAACCCAAAACCAAGGCACGGTGGCGGAGCGTCGTCGTCGCCGTCATCGTCGTCGCCGTCGTCCTCGCTCCCCGCCGTCGCCGCCCCTCGCCGCAGGCGCCGGCCCAGAAAAGGAAGTCGTAGTCCCCGCCGCCACCGCCAGCCGCCGCCTACGCAGGCGCGAGCCCGAGGAGAGGGAGAGGTGAAGAGGGGGGGGGGTTCGAACCCCCCCCTACCTCCATCCAGGCGGGGGGGGGTCGGGTTCCAACCCCCACCCTCCAAGCGACCACAGAACGCGCTCTTTCATACCCCACGACCTGTGGGAATGATGCACCCTGGCCAGGACGCGGGGCTTGTCTGGACACGGGCTCTGGACGACAACACTTCGCTTCTTGGAAGTGATGCCGCAGTCCCTAACCCCATACCCCATTTTGAAAGTGAAGGAGAGTATCATTATCCGCCTTAGCGAACACGAGAGTGACCACTGGTTCGGGCTCCCCCAAAATGACACGCCTCTGCTTACTCTTCTTAGGTATGCTATCTACATCAGGCAATCCA